TTTCTACGATCAGGAAGCGAGTGACAAGTTGACCATCGGGGAATGTCGACAGCCTGGTGTTCTGACGTGGTCATTTCAGACTTGGTAAACTTTCGTCCGTGCCGTTTGAAAGCAAGGGATTTGGCTCATGTCCGCTGCAATGACTTGCACGAGTTGCACTCCAAGACCACGTAGGAGTAGCTCAACAGCTTTGGTTGGTTGTCTTTGACAATTAATAAGGATTTCGGCATGCTTTTGGGTGCAGAAACGTTACCTGATGGTACATACACACGGCTTGGCGAGTCACAACGCTAAGTTAGAGGTGCACGACGAGCCTTTGTTCAACTTATTTCAGTGATGTTATCATCGGTCTTGTATGCATGTACTCAGAAACCGCTGAACCATTATTTCTAAGTAACTTTCTAAGGTTCCAGAGAAGAGGGAGCGGTGTGAGCAGCTGCATTACCCGGTGTATAGGCCATTCTCAACAGGGTGAAACCAATTCCAATGCAGCGTGAGTTGTAAGCGATAACGGATGTACCCCTCCCGCCCCTTCCCCGTTGTTGGGGACAACACGGCGACCTTGTTAACATCAGAGACATAATAGCTGACCAATAATCAGAATAAGGTGTTAACCGTAAGTCTGAAATCTGAAAATTTGAATTTTAAACCAGCTCACTCACAGTAGAGGTAAAAATTCGTGAAGCGCATAACTTCCAGTGAGGTTTATCTTCTCGGACGGGTCACTTTCCTTTTATTCTCCCGAAGCAAATAAATGCGCACCATTTCGTGAGAAAGCAGTGGAAAATTACACTCTGTAGTGGTCAGGTAGCTGTACTCGTTGCCTCCATAAATATGGCACAATGCCGATCAGTGGCATCAAAATGGAAGTCTCACGAGTTCCAAAAAGAAGAGCGCCACTAATGACAGATTGTGGAAATGTAGCCATGGCTCTCATGCCAACAGTTACAAACTTTCGATTTTTCTCGTTTTACTTCACATGTTGAATTGCTTATGCCGATGTCCCGCTCTGGAGATGGGTCGTTAGCCAACGATGGCCTGTTGCGATGCTTTCCGAAGCCGGGTCTTCGTCTAGCATCGGTGAGGGCGAGCAGAACGCGGACAGAGCCGAATCCTCAGTTTTGGGCTGATCAATCGGCAGTCACGACGGACGGCTACGGTGAGGGCGCTTTCTTTGAAACACGGCTCTAAACCGGTCCGTGACGAAAACAACGGTCGTTTGTTACGGCAGAAGACGGTGTGCTTTACGTGGCAGACGCTGACCGAGCCAGTCACTCGGCAGCTGCATGCCAACCGAACGGGTGACACACTGGCACCACAGTTGAATGGACGGTTCACGCCCGACCGGACCCACACGACCTTCGTCGTTTCGGACCCACCGACCGCAAGTCGAGCGTCGCACAAGTCGTTCCAACGAACAACAATGGCGCAACGTTGGTCGGCTATTAGTGGAAGGAAAATTGTTGTCAAACAAATACAGCATCATAACGCATCATTTTATACCGCCGTATCAAAGAGGCCGTGCGGTGCGTAATGACTTGTCTGTAAACCTTGACGCGTGCCTCAAGCAGTTTGGAGTCACTCGCGACTCGAAGCGCTAATCACTGAAAATTGGGCGAGTTAACGTGCACCTCAATTAAATAAAAGCAAAACGCATGCCTAAACTGAGAAGTAAATGGTTCGTGGCAGAACTCCTTTATACCAAAATACCGGTCAGCCGAAATTTGCCCCGCTCAGATATTGGGATAATTTATATTGAAAGCGAGAGGTCAGATTTGACCATTGAATGGCCTTTGCCAGTAACTGAAGTACGTCATCGGGCGTTCCTTAGACGCAATCGTTCGAGAATC